TACATGCCAAGGTAATGTTGATACTCGTCAAATCACTTGTTCTCACCAAGCAGGAATACTGCTATATTCTAACAGATTTGTTCAACTCAGGTGAAACTGCAGACTTGGAGAATGAGCAGAGATTGAAGTATCTCAATCTGTATTCTTTGGAATATAGGCAAGAAGTATACATTGTAATCTACACCTGGAAATTTCTAGAGGATATGGTCCCAAATCTGCACACACAAATTATTCCCTTTGAAAGCAAGAAGCTCAACAGACAGTGTCAAATGCTCAAAGGTGCAATGAATATACTAAGGGAAAGCTAAGTAAGTGTGAAGGGACTAAGACTTCAATATCCTCCCTTCATACATAAGGAAGATTACCAAGAGACCCCTGGCTGTTTTCAAGAGAGAACTGGACAAGTTCTAGTTTCTGATCACCTAGGCTGTGGTACATACATAAAGGACTTCATGCTGCTAGCACCAACAGCCTGGTTAATCAGGCCATCTGACAGGAGACCTGGTCTGGGACCAGGCTACAAGGACAGTGACCCCTCATAACACTCTCCAGGTAGGAGTCTACCTTGAGAGTAGATGTCCTGCTATCCCCCCTGCCATCTTAACCTTTAACCCTTTCAGGGTCCGTCCCGTAGATCTACGGCTTTACGTTCAGGGTCCAAACCGTAGATCTACGTCATGAGCTCAGCTCACTCTGATAAACTGAGTGGTAAATTTGGGCCTAGATATGAGAGAATACATCTATGTGGTATGTGTGCACCACATAAAACAAATCCTGCAGCACACTGTGTATAATGAGAGAAAAAAAACTGAGACCGTGATTTTCGATTAAAACAGCGACTTTGCAGTGTTTTTTCATATGTTTTTTATAGTTGTATTTGTGATTTCTTGGTCTCATTTGATAGAATGGAAGACATATCACAGAAATAGAGATAATTTTGATTGGTGTTAGCACTGGAAATGGCTTGAAAACTGAGCTCAAAGTGGCGGAAATGTTAAATTTTTGCCGATGTTCAAGAGTAAACAAACGACCTCACACGTCTAATACACGTCAGCTGGTGGGTCTAATATACATTCACAAATGTGGTGATGATATTTATACAATTATTACAATATTGCATAACAGTAAATCTTCTATTTTTTGGTGTGAATAAAAATTCATTATGGAAAAAATTCAAAATGGAATTTATTTGTAAAGCCTCAAAAAATAACTAATGAACAGAGGAAATGTTAGTTTAGTGCCAGGAATACCTACATTCTTTATTCTGGACCCTATTTTGAAATTGGAATATTTTGAACTTTGTGTTAAATTGGCCAAATTACCAATTTCCGGTCACTTTATTTTGTAGTTGAAATGGTTGACTTGGCGATTTCTTGTGCTCAATCGATAGAATAGAAGTAATACTAGTGAAATAGCTAAGAATTTGGTCGACTGGAATAATGTAATTGGCCTAAAATGGGAGTCAAAGTCGGCAAAATCGCCGATTCATAAATATCGCTGACACATCAAAATTCACGAGAGCATAATTTCGTCAATTTTCCATCAAATTTCGTACTTTTTGTTTTATTACCTTCACAAAAAGATTCTCTACCATTTCATAAGAAAAAATAAAAAATTTTTTTTTTGGAAAATTCTTGGACACTGGGGCACCACTTCAGATTTGGGCCTTGGACCCTGAAAGGGTTAAAACAAACAAGATATGCACATTACTGAAATATCACACAATTGTACAGTGGTACCTAGACTTACGAACTTAATTCGTTCCAGAAGGCTGTTCGGGTGCCGTTACCGAACAAATTTGTTCCTATAAGGAATAATGTAAATTAGATTAGTCCGTTTCAGACCCCCAAAAATACACTTACAAAAGTACTTACAAAAATACACTTACGTAAGTGTTTGAGTTGGGAGCTGTTCAAAACTCGAGGTATGTACCACTGTATTTGTGTTTAATGAACAGAATGGTTATTGAAGGCAAGAGTGTGTGGCACAGTCATTAATTGAAAACTATAATAAGAGTATAACTATTTATAGAAATCCTCTATTTATAGAAATGTATGAAAATTATGCAACCTGATTATGATAATCCTAGCAGTGGTGTGACAAATATTGCAAATACAGGTACGACCCGCTTTACAGTGCTTTGCTCTACAGCATTCTGTTAATGTAGTGGTTTCAATTACGTATACTCATTTTTCATTTATTCAGATTCCTACACTAAATATATTCATCACTTACTATAAGCTAAGGATGAAAATATTTCAAGGAATGAGTGCACTGTACATACATTTTTTAGGCCTAGCTATATTGCTCATTTCATACATAATAATGTAAACATGTTATCAGGCTTTTACAGTGGACCCTCGGGTAACGATGACATCGGCTAGCGATAAAATCGGATATCAATGCATCTCTGCGTAAAAATATTGGCTCGGCCAACAATGAAACACTCAGGGACATTTGTCCCAAATGTGTCCGCCTGTCCATCCAGCCTAAGTGCCTCAGCTGCCCTGCCCTCAGCTAGTTTGCCATTGTTTACAAGCCACGGCGAACGGTTCCATGCATACATTCTATACATTTTGTATTACTCCATTGTTTTTAGTGCTTGTAACTGCTAAATAAGCCACAATGGGCACAAAGAAAGCTTCTAGTGCCAACCCTGTGGTAAAAAGGGTGAGAAATACTATCGTACCACGGTCAGCTGCTGCTGCACCACCGTCAGCTGCTGCTGTACCATGGTCAGCTGCTGCTGCACCACCATCAGCTGTTGCTGCGCCACTGTCAGCTGCTGCTGCTGCACCACGGTCAGCTGCTGCTGCTGCACCACGGTCAGCTGCTGCTGCTGCACCACGGTCAGCTGCTGCTGCTACACCACGGTCAGCTGTTGCTGCACCATCAGCTGTTGCTGCACCACGGTCAGCTGTTGCTGCACCACGGTCAGCTGTTGCTGCACCACCATCAGCTGTTGCTGCACCACCACCATCAGCTGTTGCTGCACCACAGTCAGCTGCTGCTGCACCACCACTAGCTGTACTACTTGAAGATGTGGAGAGACTGTTGTTGGTGTGGCTTACCGAGAAACAATTACATGTACCTAGAAACAATTAACCCCAGAGGGTTAGCTACCCAGGATAACCCAATAAAGACAGTGCATCATCAAGGACTAATTATTTCCATTGGGGCCCCTTAATCTTGTCCCCAGGATGCGACCCACACCAGTTGACTAACACCCAGGTGAACAGGAAAAATGCCTTGAACTAGTGCTCAATATTGATGAATTTAAGGCCAGCAAAGGTTGGTTTGAGAGATTTAAGAATCGTAGTGGCATACACAGTGTGATAAGGCATGGCAAAGCTGAAAATTCCAACCCCAACAAGTGTTCAATTGTGATGAAACAGGCCTGTTCTGGAAGAAAAATGCCAAACAGGACCTACATTACTCAGGAGGAAACAGCACTCCCAGGACACAAGCCTATGAAAGACAAGCTAACTCTTATGTTTTGTTGTAATGCTAGTGGGGATTGCAAAGTGAAGCCTTTACTCATGTATCACTCTGAAAATCCCAGAGTGTTCAAGAAAAAGTGTCTCATCACTCATCAATACTCTTCCATAAAGGTAAGAGTCATTTTAGTAATTATTTATGTATTTGTTGTGCATGTCTCATTGTTTTCTGTGTATGGAAATGTATATTTCATGTAAAAAAAATTTTTTAATACTTTTGGCTGTCTGGAACGAATTAATTGGATTTCTTTTATTTCTTATTGGGAAATTTAATTTGGCTAACGATAAAATTAGTTAAGGACAAGCTCTCTGGAATGGATTAAAATTGTTACCCGAGGGTCCATTGTACAGTGGACCCCCGCATAACGATGGCATCACAGCGATTTTTCCGCATACCGCTTACTTTTATCGCAAAATTTTTGCCGCGCATACCGATTAAAAAAACCCCCTCACCGATTTTCGTCCGAGACGCGTCCAATGTGCCCTCAGCCAGCCTCACATGTGCCGCCCGTCCCATTGTTTACCAGCCAGCCTCCGCGGTAACATCCAAGCATACACTCGGAATATTTCGTATTATTACAGTGTTTTCGGTGCTGTTTCTGGAAAATAAGTGACCATGGGCCCCAAGAAAGCTTCTAGTGCCAACCCTGTGGTAAAAGGGTGAGAATTAGTATGGAAATTAAGAAAGATTTTGAAGGGTTTGGGGCTAACCCTGAGAAGCCTATGCCAGTTGTGGAATCCATTGTGCCTACTTCAAAGATTAAGGAAATGTGTGCACAGTGGGTTGAACTGCAAACCTTTATGGATGAAAATCACCCTGACACAGCTGTTGCAAGCCGTGCTGGTGACTATTTCAATGACAATGTTGTGGCCCATTTTAGACAAATCGTAAAGGAACGGGAGGTACAGAGCTCTATGGACAGATTTGTTGTGCGACAGAGGTCCAGTGACTCTCAAGCTGGTCCTAGTGGCATTAAAAGAAGAAGGGAAGTAACCCCGGAAAAGGACTTGCTACCTCAAGTCGTAATGGAAGGGGATTCCCCTTCTAAACAGTAAGAAGATATCCCTCTCCCCCTCCTCCCATCCCATCAATCATCACCAATCTTCAATAAAAGTAAGTGTCATGTAAGTGTGCATGCCTTTTTCAGTTTGTGTGTATTAAAATTAATATTTCATGTGGTAAAAAAATTTTTTTTCATACTTTTGGGTGTCTTGCACGGATTAATTTTATTTCCATTATTTCTTATGGGGAAAATTCATTCACATAACGATTATTTCGCATAACAATTACCCCTCTTGCACGGATTAAAATCGTTAACCGGGGGTCCACTGTATATGCATTTGAAAGCAAAAAAAAAGAAGCTATGTTTCACTTTACAGCAGTGGCCCGGGCCCCAACCTGCTGTATAAGCGGGGCCCTCCTGTACTGTATGCTTAACGAAATATGAAAGTGCAGTATTGCACAATTTTTACATTTCTATCCGCAAAACCGAAATACTGTACCTTATTACGGAGGCCGCTAATGACGTGGTAAAATGTTGTGCGGTGATTGTTCCACTTGAGTGATAAAAGCTCTCCATCCATTGTTCTGAAACAAACAAATAATGAATTAACTGAGATATAGTTAGCCACTAAGGTGGTCACCATGTACCAGTGTTACAGTGATCATGGTCCATCACGTACCAGTGTTACAGTGATCATGGTCCATCATGTACCAGTGTTACAGTGATCATGGTTCATCTTGTACCAGCATATCATAGTAATCATGGTCCATCATGTACAGTGGCGTCTCATAACACCGGTAATACCTATACTATCATATTGCATCACACTTCTGTTTTTAATCATTTATCTTGTTTCAACAAAAAAATTTAAAATTTGCTTATAAATACATTGAAAACAACATACAATGGATTTTTCCTGTAATATATTTGTCATTTGCAAATTATTTTAGCGTAAGGTTGAAGAAATCATACGTCTGGCAATGAGCATCTGGGGGGACTGCAGCTCCTATGGACGAGCCGCCACTGATCATGTACCAGAGTTACAGTAATCATGGTCCATCATGTACCAGTGTCACAGTGATTATGGTCCATCATGTACCAGTGTTACTGTGATCATGGTCCATCATGTACCAGTGCATCACAGTAATCATGGTCCATCATGTACCAGTGTGTCATAGTGATCATGGTCCATTACGTACACCTTCTAGTATGGATTGTAGCCTGTCAGATCACCAGCTACATCCTAGGCTACGGTAGTATAGCATCAATGTAGGTACAGTACACTATGTTACCTCTCGCACTACTTAAACCATCCACTGTTCTACATAAACATTACACTCACAAAGTGGTTTACATCCATTTTATAATATAATGTTATCTTCAAATTTACAAGGATATCTTTCTCATCATATTCCCACAGATCCTGAATGCTCAAATGCATAAACCATCACTAAATGTTGTTCATATAGTTTCATTATTATCATGGGGAGCACTACGCCCATAGGGATTATACAGTGCTTGTGGAGGAGGGAGGGGGGGGGGGTTGAAATCATTCAGGCTTAATTCAGGGAAGTGGAGCACAGATCCAATTCCCTAGATCAAGAGCCCCTCACCAGCATCAAGGAACCTCCCTTGAAGGGTATAGTTTCTTTAGGTTTGGGCTCATTTTGTGTTGTAGAGGTCATCTCTAAGTAAAGCAACAAATTTCTAAATGATGTAGTGACAATCTGGTGCCCAAAAGATAAACAGTTTGGGGCACGTGAAATCCAGAACACATTTTAAACAAAATCCAATGGCTGAATTTCAATTTAGGGGTCATATGCCAAGCCAGAAGAAAATGGGTACAAACAAAAATTATATATAAGCTGAATAAGAGAAGACAGCTTGATGCAAATGGTACATAAACTGATGACAACAATGAAGAAAGTACACATTGCAAAACAAGTTTTTATTGGGACGTTGTTCTATGTAGAACAGCTCAAAATCATGACTTGAAGCTCTACACAAGAGCAAAACATCCAAATAAAAGCTTGCTCAACATGTCTTTTCTTCACAGAAAACAGCTTGAGGAATGAGAAATCAAGTGAAGCCATTTTTAACACTTTCAGGGTCTGTCCCTTAGATCTACGGCTTCACATTGAGTGTCCAAACCGTAGATCTATGCCAAATTCTAGCGCCGTCAAATTTAGTGCGAAAGCGCTCATAGGCCTACATGTGAGAGAACGGGTCTGCGTGGTGGGTGTGCGCCATAAACAAAAAATCTAGGCGCCCGCATAGCATTGTGGGAACACCGGCTCAGTTACCCTTGTTCACCATGCCTCGTCGCAAGTCGGCTCTCACTCCACGGAAAACTGGGACTCTCCTCTTCCTATCTGATAGTTCTGACACTGATGGAAGTGGAAATGAAGACGAATTCTATGGCTTTGATCAGTTAGTGACCGAAAGGAATGACCAGGATATCGATAATAGTGCAGAAAACCCTGACGATCCTCAACCTTCTACCTCTGGTGTGGGCACTCGTGACTCACAGTCGGTTGTACCTCAATGCAAGAGAAAACTAATATTTTCGCGTGGCCAGGCCTCTGACTTCAGTAATGATGATGATAGTGACGTGGATTGTGATTTTATTGCACTTGACGATCATTCAAGTAGTGATAGTGAGGAATCATATTTACCAGTGAAGCGTCGGTATGTACGCCGCCGCATGCGCTCGGGTAGTGTACCCTATGCTGTGCCCAGGGGACGGAGTACATCGCGGAGTACATCCCGAGGCCCTACACCAGGTTTAGATAGTGATAGTGAGGATGATGTGGCTACACTTGGCATGGATAGACCACAGGCATCAGTAGATAGTGTTAGTGGTGATGGTAGTGGCACCGCCATGCGTGACTCACCAGCCCAGGCTGGGACTCGCGCTGCTGACTCCTCAGTTCAAGGACAAAGCGGAGCGTCAGCCACCAGCCCACCACAACCACAACCACCCACACAACCAGCCTATGATGTCCAGTATCCACCAGCAAACCACATCTGGGATTGGCAGCAAAATCCCAATTTTGTTCCCAAGCCCCACCACTTTGATGATTCTCAAAGTGGAATTCTACCTACTTGTCCCCTTGGAACCACGGCCATTGAACTGGAATTCTTTGAATTATTCTTTGACCAGCCATTGATGGAAACTATTGTCAGGGAAAGTAATAAGTATTTTCAGTACACCATGGCAAATACGATCATATCACCACAGTCAAGACTACACCTGTGGAAAGAGACGACTGTTGCAGAAATGTATTTGCTTTTTGCAACAATAATGTTTATGCCTCATGTCTATAAGCATAACATAAAAGCATACTGGTCCACAGATCGGCTAATTTCTACCCCAGTCTTCAGTGAAATCATCCCAGTGAACAGGTTTGTCTTACTGTTACGTATGTTGTACTTCTCTGACAAAACCAGGCCTGATTGAAGTGACAGGTTATACAAGATTAGAAATGTTTTTATGTATCTCAAACAAAAGTTCAGCATATACTTTTATCCATTCAAGAATCTTGTAATTGATGAGTCTTAGATTTTGTTCAAAGGTAGACTGTCATTCAAGCAGTATATACCGAGCAAGAGGAAACGCTTTGGTATAAAACTGTTTGTACTCTGTGACTGTGACAGTGGCCTGGTGTTGGATATTGTTGTATACACGGGAAGTAAAACATTGAAAGATACCAAGATGTTATTGGGTATCTCAGGTGACGTAGTGAGAAACATGATGGCACCTTATCTTGGTAAGGGGCATACATTATATGTATACCGATAACTGGTACACAAGCCCATTACACAGTGATTTCATGCGAGTGAACAAGACAGATGTGTGTGGCACAGTGCGTTCTAATCGTAAACATATGCCCAGGCTCAACGCAGGTGCTCGTGGTGATGATGTGCAGGTGTTTACTGCCAATGACATCATGGCATTACGGTGGCATGACAAACGAGATGTCACATTGTTGACAACCATTCACCGTAATGAAATGCAAGACAGTGGCAAAGTTGATCGAGTGACTAATGAACATATTCGAAAACCAGTGACAGTGATTGATTATACACAAAACATGCGCTTGGTTCACAAATGTGACATGCAGATTGGTTTTGTTGATTGTGTTCGTAAGAGTTACAAGTGGTACATGAAACTTTTCTTCCATCTCATGGTCATTTCAATGCTCAATGCATATAGTGTAATATGTACCAAATAAAGACTGGCAACAGACCACCGTATGGTGAATTTTGTTTGTCTGTTGTCAGACAACTCATAATGAAGTACCAGGTAAGAACACCTGGTATACAACAAGGTCCTCGAATTCCTCAAGATATACCCAAGCGTTTGAGGAGGGAAGGTGATCATTTCATAATACAGCTTCCTTCAACTCAGAAGAAATTTGCTCAGAAGAGATGCATCGTCTGTGCACAAACAAAACGACGGCAACAAAGACACAAAGACACTCGGTTTATGTGTGAGGGATGTAAGGTGCCTCTGTGCATGGTGCCTTGTTTCAAGGAGTTCCACAAGCTCCAGCAGTTCTAAAACCATGTCCAGTGATTGTAATACGTAAATATATGATAGAACATTAGTATTATACAAGATTTGTGTATGTTTATTGTAATAAACAACAGTGGTAAACAATAATATGATAATAACTTAAGTGCGGTTATTGTGTTCAATACAGTGAGTTTATATATACACATTATATACAGTATTGGTCTCTCAGGCCCCAAATGTTAGTAGGAAAAGAAAAAAATTGGAAAAGAAAAGAAAAACTACAAAAACCGCTAAATAAAGTAATGCGCGTATGTGGAATTCGTCGATGTTGCCGCCACCACATCATTTTGGACAAACTTCTTGGCACTGTATCTCGGTAAGTACTGATCAAAAAAAAAAAATTTTGTCTTCTTACCTTCACAAAAATATGCTCTTTAATTCTGTAAGAAAAAATAATTTTTTTTTTTTTTCAAAATTTCTTGGACACTGGAGCACCACTTCAGATTTTGGCCTTGGACCCTGAAGGGGTTAAGACTCCCCAACACAACCACCACCACTGCTGGAACCAACACCACCACTGTCGGAGCCAACACTGCCACTGTTGGAGCCAACACTGCCACTGTTGGAGCCAACACTGCCACTGTTGGAGCCAACACTGCCACTGTTGGAGCCAACACTGCCACTGTTGGAGCCAACACTGCCACTGTTGGAACCAACACTGCCACTGTTGGAACCAACACTGCCATTGCTGGAGCCAACACTGCCACTGCTGGAGCCAACACTGCCACTGCTGGAGCCAACACCGCCACCGTTGGAGCCTACACCACCAGTGTTGGAGCCAACACCACCACCACTGTTGGAGCCAACACCACCACCACTGTTGGAGCCAACACCACCACCACTGTTGGAGCCAACACCACCACCACTGTTGGAGCCAACACCACCACCAGTGTTGGAGCCAACACCACCACCAGTGTTGGAGCCAACACCACCACCAGTGTTGGAGCCAACACCACCACCAGTGTTGGAGCCAACACCACCACCAGTGTTGGAGCCAACACCACC